AAAAAAAACATAAAGGCATTTTATACTCATGCTCAGCAAAGACAGAATGTTGGCTAGTTTGGACAAGTTGAGAATGAGAATTATTCATACAGCTGCACGGTTGTTGGCAAAAGGCCTTTGTTGGTTTTCTTTACTGCCACAGGCATTGCAGTGTAGAATACAAGTTTCTTACATGTTTGCAGCTTTAAGATAGTGAAATCCATCTGAGGAGATGAGCTGCTTGTTTCTGAAGAGTCAACCAGAAACCTCAACAATTCAATGAACTCAGAAAAGACTGTAGAGAGAATTTGTATATGAGAAGCCCTATGCTTTAATAAAATACCTCGACTTTTGTTTTCTGCACAACTTACAGGAACCCAATTCCATACCAGTGTATCTAAACACTTCGGAGGTATCTTTCTTTCTTTCTTTCTGGAATCTGGACATTGCCAAAATTAAGGGTTCCTTATTACATCTTTTTCTCCACACTAAAAGAAATGACAATACCATGGTATTTTCCTATTCTGTGTTTCAGAAAGAGACTATCCATTTAGTAGATGTCTTGTATTGCTTGCTTTCTTGGTATTGCAACTTACTTGTCCAACAAATATATTGCCAGCAGCAACTAGAGACTCAATAGGAGATGAGCCCATAGTAACAAGCATTATCCATCCAACCTAAAAGGAAGAAAGGGACAAAGTCAGTGATGAACTGTGTGTATATAACAAAATTCAAAGTGGGGTAAAGTCTTTGAACTGGAGTAAAATATTGAGGCCTTCAATAATCATGGGCAGGTTGGTGATGGTGATAAATGTATGTATAAACCATCTAGCTCATAGAGCAGGCTGATCAAATCCTCCTGTAAGGGTGGTAAGTCTGAGTCATTGTATAGACTTTTGAACATTAGACAAATGATTTCTACAGATATGCTTTATAAAAGTAATAAGTGATAATTGTTAACACTTATGGTAGGCTTTTCTGCATTCCAGGCACTGTTGTAAGCCCTTGACCTGTGCAACACATTGAATCTTTACTCTTTGAAGTATGTCCTATATATTATGCCCATTTTACAGAAGAGGAAACCAAAGTACAGAGTAGTTGTTTTGTCATAGAAAGTGGTTTTGTCAACTATTAAACAGTGAGATTAAACAGTGAACGTGGTTTATGGATCTACTGTTTGTACTGGCCTTTTGTGATAATTTGAATCTGAAAAGTCCCCCAAAGCCCCATGTGTTAAAGGCTTAGTCTCCAGACTGTATCACTATCAACTGGTGGTGAAAACTGTAAAAGGCCATGCCTGGCGGGAGATCTTAGGTCACTGCCATTGGGAGATATTGTGGAATCTCAGTCAATTCCTTTCCCTTTTCACATTCTGGTCATCAGGTGAGCAGGCATTCCCTGCCCCAAAGCAGCAAGGCAAATCAATCATGGACCAAAACTTCCAAAACTGTGAGTCTAAATAAACCTTTCTTCTATAGAAGTTGATTATCTCAGACATTTATCATAGTAATGGAAAGGTGACTAATAAACCTTTCAACCAGTGACCATGATACCTATCTCAGGATGCTGACTTCCTGTTGAATTCTATTTCCTTTCTTTCCACTTAGCTATATGAGTACGGTAATTCTTTTTTTAAAAACATTTACTTTTTGATATTATTTATTAGCATGGGAAAATGGCTACATTGAATAGTGGTTGGAAAAGCAAGATGTAAAATGATGTATAACTTCATTGACAGTTATATATAACATGATCTACATGCATTTATGATACAACAAAGACTCTTATGATCATTTTTTAACATATTTGTATTTGTTTTTAAGGCTTTCTCTCTCTTTTTCTGTGAGATTATTTCATACAAGCTCTATATACTTTCTTATTTTTAAAAATTGCTTTATTTTGGTTCTGGTGATTGAACTCATGGCCTTGTGATGTTAAGCAGGGCTTCTACCATTGAGCTGCATCCCTATCCTTTTTTTTTTTCTTTTTAAAAAGGCAATTAGTCCTATGCATTTTCCAAAGATTCTAAGCAGATACATATTATCATCAAATAATATTATTACCAGAATTTTAAAAATTTGGATTCTAAATGTGAATGCAGTAATTCTGAATATATAAACCCATAATCAGGAAATTATGAGTACTGGAGCTCACTGTGATTGCAAATTCTGCTGGTTTTCTTATTCTTTCTTTCTCTCTTTCTCCTATCTTTTCTCTTTCTGGTTATATATTTTGATTTATTTACAGGAATCAAAGGAAGGCTGTGGTTGTCCCTCAAGGCCTGTGTGCACTGGTCTGCTTCCATATGCATCCAAACTAGCTTACAAATATCTAGTTTTCTGATCTGACATGAGAGTAGAACTCAATTGCTGGAGCAGCACGAATGAGGTTAACTCTTCTTTAAAAAAAAAAAAATGTGTGCTTATAAAACTCCCCCACCACCAGAGTGAAAAACACTTCACTTTCCTGCTTTAATTTCTCTAGCAACTCTAAGATGAGGCATACCTACTTTGGTAACTTTCTAAAGACAAGTTGTCAGTATGTATGAGGCCTAGTGTAGGTAACTGTGAGGAGAGATCAACACCACTTCCCCGTGGCAAGTATTTGACCTCAATTGCTTGGTTAAAGACGTAACTGCTATGGTTTCATGGAGTTATCCAGTGGATTGTAAATCAAAGCCCTATTAGAAGACCCTGAGATAAAATTCCTCTTATGGGCACGTGCAGGATTTGGCATTTCAATGTAATAACTTTGGTGATGGAGGTGAATATTTGTAGGAAGAGAAAGGCACTTTGGAAATGCCTGGATAAAAGGCATTTAAGACTTTGTACCTGAAATAATCAACTCTGCACCTGTCACCTTGTATGTCCCAATCCCAGTACCTTTCTGATGATCCACTGCATCAATCCCATGTAGTATAACATGGACATCACAGTGCTGAAGAAAATCACAATTGGCAAGACCTGGGGATGGGGGAACAGAGTTAGTTATGGGTCAGTGGTGACCCCAATAATATTGCAGGTTTACTATTAGGTCCCCTCTCTGCCTCCTCTCTCCATCAGAGACACCATAACAATGCTGGAAATGCCTCTTGAACTGACAACCCTTTTTACCAGGCAGCTTCCCTCTCTAAGTCCCTTATTCTAATTTCTTCTAGATAGGCTTGAGTTTCAAATTGATTTGACTATGTCCCCTGAAAGTTCAGGTGTTGGAAACTTAATACCCAGATTCATATGTTAATGGCACTTGGAGGTGGGGTTTTTGGGAAATAATTAGGATTAGATGAGGGCGTGAAGGTGGGGCCCCCATAGTGGCAGTAGTGGCTTTATTAGAAGAGAAAAGAGATCTGAGAGAGTTCACTTGCCCTGGCTCACCATCTGATGCCTTCTGCCATGTTATGAGGACCAAGAAGGTCCTGATCAATGCCAGCTTGTTGGAATTAGACTGCCCCCACCTTAAATTTGTACTCTAAATAAACCTTAATTCTTTATAAATTATCCAGTTTCAGGTATTTTGTTATAACAGAAGAAAGAAGGCTAAACAGTATATTTCATAGAAAATGTGACCTCTCCCCTTCTTTTTTTATTTTACTTTTTTTAGTTTTAGGTGGACACAATATCTTTATTTTATTTTTATGTGGGGCTGAGGATCAAATCCAGTGCCTCATGCACGCCAGGCGAGCACTCTACCACTGAGCCACAACCTCAGCTCCGACCTACCCCATTCTATGATGAGGTTTTCTTAGAGAAAATATACAATTTTGGGGGGAATTTTGATAGCTAGAGCCACAAACTGAAGGCCACTGGCAAATATTCTCATTGTCCTGATATTAAAAAGACATGAGCTTCATCCCTAATTAGCAGAGTAACCTGGGTCAAGATGAATCGTGAGGCACTTCAGATCCTTATTTGTAGCAGCTGTGCGGTTCAGATAATTCATGGTTGATACTTACACACAGTGCCTCCCATGGAGTATGCATTAATTCTTTTAGATTTAGAAATAAAAATTATTTTACCTATAGATTTTTGAATCACTAAAGTGGTGACATTTTGAAGACCAGGTTAGTCCTGTGTTAAAGAAGGATGTAACTGGCTAGATCCTATTTCTCTGTTGCTCTTTTGGAACCTGCAGCCTGTGTTTCTACAGGGAGCAGTTTCCACCTACATAGACCACACACAGCTGTGGGCCAGGTCTCTACTCAGCCCCACTCCACCTCAACAATTCCCCACTATTCCCCCAGCTAAATGGCCAGGTGATCTGGTACCAGAGACACAGAATGACCAAGGACAATTTGTACAAGATCTAATTTAGAAAAATCTATTAATAATATATACTAAAATACATTTTATGCCAGTATCAGAGCTCACTATGAGCCTCTTATTAGTTTTAATGGGTAGGCAGAACTTTCCTGAAAGCCTGAAGGAGTTAAAGGGGCTCATCCAGGGATTCTGAGTTGGCAGGAAAGCAGAAAGGCCACTGCCCTGGGGCAAGAGAGGAACAGACAAGGTCTGAAGCACGCTTATTATCTGTATAGCAAGTTACTCCTTCCTGTGGTTTTATTCTTTTTCCAATTCTCAATTCATTTCACGATATAAGCATCTTTCTATCTCACTCTATAAATGCTTGACCCTTCTCAGATAAGGCTTAGTTATCTCAACACCAAAGCATCAGGTCAGCAGCTTTAGAAAAGATTCAGACCTTGATCTGATCATTGTACATTTATACATGTATTAAAATGTCACACCCCATGAATATGGACAATTATTATGTGTCAATAAAAATTAGAAGTAGGGCTGGGGATATAGCTCAGTTGGTAGAGTGCTTGCCTCGCATGCACAAGGCCCTGGGTTCAATCCCCAGCACCACCAAAAAAATTAATAAATAAAATAAATAAAAATTAAAAGTATATTTTAAAAATCCAGTGTGGGGTGCAGTGGCATACACCTGTAATCCCAGCTACTCAGGAGGCTGAGTCAAGAAGATGGCAAGTTCAAAGCCAGCCTCAGCAACTTATTAAGGCCTTAAGCAACTAGTGAGACCCTATTTCAAAATAAAAATGAAAAGGGCTGGAGATGTATCTTAGTGGTTAAGTGGTTAAGTGCCCCTGAGTTCAATACTTGGTACCAAAAAAAAAAAAAAAAAGATCTAGCATAAAAATTTGCCTAGCTGAATGGAGTAATTTAGAGTAAAATTTGGAATCTCTAAGGGAGAAAATGTATGAACATTAACACCACAAGAGAGAAAGCTGAAGAAAAGCCCAAATATA